CTGAGATGCTGGATTGCATGCCTTGCAACTGTCACCTGGTCTTCTGTACAGAGATGCTGGATTGCAAGCCTTGCAACTGTCACCTGGTCTTCTGTGCAGAGATGCTGGATTGCATGCCTTGCAACTGTCACCTGGTCTTCTGTACAGAGATGGCTGGATTGCAAGCCTTGCAACTGTCACCTGGTCTTCTGTACAGAGATGCTGGATTTCAGGCCTAGCATATATTCTCTGAGGTCACACATAAGAAAATGCAGCAGTTGTGTGTCATTGTTCTTCCACAGTCTGCATTGAAATGTTGATACCAAACACATTAAAAAGATTGCAGATCATGTATATTTTGATGTAAATTTAATGAAAGGAAGCAGATGGCGTTGTATTATGGTATACTGGATAGTCAATTACAAATGCATTTTTAAATGAAAATAACAAATGTCAGCCGAGATCTTGATCTTTGTAGATAATTGAAAACATCCCATTACCAGGGTTCCCAAGAGAGATGAGAAAATATTTTGTTGTTTTGTGTAGATTTGTACGATTGATTTTCTGTTTATATTCATTGATATACAGAGCGCCCTCTATCACCACACAGCAACAAGTCTAATTCTCCTATCCAATGCTGTAGTTTTTAATTCATGTTTTTATTATACAGTAACTGTGTGTGATTTACTGTTATTGAAAATGTAAAATTTTTTGAAAAATAAAAAAAAAATAATAAACAAACAATATAATACAAATTAATTCAATGGCTTCAACCGCCATTTTTTAGGTATGATTTGTTGCCGGTCCTGAGATTGTAATGAAAATCATTTTTCTCTCACTTTTACAATATCAAACTGATGTGCACATTGATCAGGAAATATTGTAAGTTTTCTAATACAAGATTTTACTAATGAGAAATGAGATTGTTGATACTTCAGCTAATTTAAGATTCTGTTAAGGTATGCATCAAGTCAAATTCGCTAAAATTCATTTTACAGTATCATTTTTGGGCCAGATATGATTATTTTGCATCGCTGAATAGACAGGTGTTCATTTTTTATATACTTTGCGATAGCTTAGGGCTAAGTGTGGAATCTATGTGGATATGAGAGGATTTTTAATCTATCTAATTTTCACTGTCTCTTCCAACGCTACCAGCAATACGATTCAGCAGGGAATCAGAGGAGATAAGAACATAAGATTAATTTTAAAAAGGATGCAATCTGTTCTCTAAAATTGGCTCTGGTTGCTAAGATCTCATTTGGTCTGGTTGCTAAGCTCTATTTTACACAAACTGTGGCAGAGATTTTTTTCATTTGATGACCATATTCTGAAGCGAACATACAAAAGACAATGCATACGCCAATCTTCTATTGTATTGTATTCTATTCTATTGATCTCTATTGTTATACTAGTATTAATTTTCAAAGTGTACAAAATGCAGGTCCTTTTTTTTATGATTTGGTTGCAGCTACCAAAATCCAAGCAGTTTTAAGGCTAACAATTCATCAAATTCATTCATTCCGAACCGGATCTTGGTTGTGTACTGATGGATTTCTCAAACTTTCTACAAACATACACTTTCACTCTCACTGGTTCTATTTCTAACTGGTGACATAAGTAGATTTATTTACTGAAACAACCAGATTAAGCCAATCAGAAACTTTATATTTGCATAAGATGCAAATGACATTTGACAGAAAGAAATCGATCATCCTCATCATTATTATTTTTTTCACTCTCTTATACATGTAGAGTTTCAACTTCTGGATTTCCTCAGACTCATTACCCAATTTGTTTGCCCTACAGCAGAGTAGGTACATTCGATTGTGCCTTCCAATCACCATGTGCTAATTCTTAGCTACAAAACCAAGAGAGTGAATTGTCATAAATATTTCATCTTCTGTTTTTACACACAGGGTAAAGATAGCAGTCTATTCAACCTACCAGGAGTGTTGAAAGTCTATCTTGAAAATCAGCAAACCAAGTCTTTCAAGTATGACAGCAAAACACTAGTGAGAGTGAGTCAAAATCTGGATATTTCTTGCATTATTTACAATTCATGGAATGTAAAAAAATACTCTCATTCCATCTCACTATTACATGTAAGACTACAGAGGGCGTACTCATTGACTTAGCACAATTGGTTAGTGTGACCACCAGAGGGAGTCCTTTGAGTCTTGCCACACACAGCCTTGTAAATTTTCATTGAATACGAAAATGATATTTTAATTTTTCCAGACTATCCATTAATGTTATTTACATGGTAGTTGCCGCACAGTGCATGTTCAAATTTCATGTCAACATTGTATTTTACACACACTATGTATGTTGCTATGAGTCCCATATCACCATTTAAAATTGTACATACTTTATTTTATTAAAGCTTGTTTTGTTAGATTTGTATCTAATTTTTTCATTTCTTTCAGGATGTTTTGAATATTCTACAGGAGAAACTTGACATCAAATGTATGGAATATTTCTCACTACTTGTAAAGGATTATAGCTCCCCTGCCAAACCTAAATTATCATTTCTGCAAGATCATGAATTAATACAGCGGGTAAGTATAGTCTGTGTTATCAGTTTGGTTACCAT